TGGAAGAAAAAAAACCAACCAAAATAACCCCAACAAAACAACATCAACAACAAAAAATGGAGTCTGCTACGCCAACAATCATACAAAGTACTGAAACCACGTGAATGAGTATTGTTTAACGCCGCTTTTAGCAAGTATTCTAGCAATATCACAGCGGGGGACACCAGAAATGGGCTTCACACATTGTACCCATGTCGGGAATCGAACCCGGGTCTTCGGCGTGACGAGCGAACGCTTTAACCACTAGGCTAAACCACCGCCCCCTGAATGAAATGAGGATCACACCCGAATGTCTTCTGATAAAACATATAGCACGAGTCAGGGTATTTGTCGATTGGTATTGATATCCAGTAAACTACGGTTATAACGAACTAAAAAGGACCACTGATTTTAGTTCGTTATAACCGTAGTTCGTTATAGGCACATATACAGCCTATATACAGCAAATGGACGAGACCCCAAAACAGTTCGTTATATCCGTCAGTTCGGTATAAGCGTGTTCGTTATAAACGTAGTTTACTGTATTTGGAAATATATTTGGTTATATTTATCATCCAAAATCCTCCTCCCAACTTTTTCAGTTTGTAAACAGTCCTCGCTTTCGATTTCAAAACCCCGGACAAGCCAGGTGAACCCGGGTTAACTGTGTAAACCCACGTTAACCTTGGTTGACCAGTGTTAGCAAGTGTTAACTGATTTACGCCATACATCGGTTGACCTAAGTTCCACATACCCAGTACACAGGCCAGTATTATAGCCTTCGCGTGACGTCATCGTTAAAGCTATTTCGTTTCGTTTATTGATTCAAACAAAATAAAATATACTTTAGAATCAATAATTAAACTTTGATGATGGTTGTGTGTCTCTGTTTCATGTTCTTTCGTACTTTCTTGTCGTTTTGAACACATTAAATAGAAAAGGTACAATGGCCCCTTTGTCAAGAAATGTACAACATGCAATACACATGTCTGTTGTGTTTTTCCCTCTCGGGTCGCCATTTTATATTATATCTACCGTTCGGATATTGCCTGAGTGAGTGAGTGAGTGAGTGAGCGAGTATGGTTTTACGCCGCTTTTAGCAATATTCCCGCAATATCACAACGGGGGACCAGCAGAAATGGGCTTCACACATTGTACCCATGTCGGGAATCGAACCCGGGTCTTCGGCGTGACGAGCGAACGCTTTACCCACATGGCTACCCGACCGCCCCTATGTTTGTTTAACATTAGTTAACTCGGGTTGAATCTAGTCAATCCTGGTTGCCAGGTATTTGGTAACATCTCGTGTGACTCAATACTTAATAATCCAAACCCAACCAGTGTCTTGAGTGTATACTGTAAAGAACCGATAACCAACTTCATTCGTCACCACTCGCCCTTTTTCCGTAACCTGCAAGAAGACTCGTCCCCCTATCGATGAATGTTATGTGCGAAAATACGACAATCCAATCAAAATGCGCGTATGAATCCAAGCACTTCGCTCAAAGAATACCCATGGAATTTTTTTTGATTTTACACATGTCTTGCATCTAAAAATGTACCCTAGATACAGTTAAATGTGTTTATTCATGTACTGACAGTGTATAAATACCGTAAGTCCCGATGTGTTTAAATAGTATCTTGAATATATATTACATGGGGGAAATATACGTGAATCATTACACAACGAGTATACAATTAAGTATGCCCGTTTTGCGCTTAGACGGAACCCAGTCGCAAAAATGGTTGTGACGTCATGATGGGGATCACATACCAATGGTCAGCAAAGCATTGTGATGCAATTTCATTACAACCTTATCTCCCAATCTGCCAACAGAGGGCGCTGGCATAACCACGTCTTTTTTAGGGGCTTGACGGAAATTGCACCCGACCCGTGAAGATCCGGGGTAGAATAGGTCTTCAGCAACCCATGCTTGCCGTAAAAGGTGACTTTGCTTGTCGTAAAAGGCGACTAACGGGATCGGGTGGTCAGACTCGCTGACTTGGTTGATGCATGTCATCGTGTCCCAATTGCGTGAATCAATGATCATGATATTAATCACTGGATTGTCTGGTCCAGACTCGATTATTTACAGAGGGCAGTCATATAGCTGGAACATTGCTGAGTGCGGCGTTAAACAACAAACCAACCAACCAAAGCAAAGCATTGTGATGCAATTTCATAACAACTTTATCTCCCAATCTGCCAACAGAGGGCGCTGGCATAACCACGTCTTTTTTTACGGGCTTGACGGAAATTGCACCCGACCCGTAAAGATCCGGGGTAGAATAGGTCTTCAGCAACCCATGCTTGCCGTTAAAGGCGACTATGTTTGTCGTAAGAGGCGACTAGCGGGATCGGGTGGTCAGACTCGCTGACTTGGTTGATGCATGTCATCGTGTCCCAATTGCGTGAATCAATGATCATGATATTAATCACTGGATTGTCTGGTCCAGACTCGATTATTTACAGAGGGCAGTCATATAGCTGGAATATTGCTGAGTGCGGCGTTAAACAACAAACCAACCAACCAACCAACCAAAGCAAAGCATTGTGATGCAATTTCATAACAACTTTATCTCCCAATCTGCCAACAGAGGGCGCTGGCATAACCACGTCTTTTTTTACGGGCTTGACGGAAATTGAACCCGACCCGTAAAGATCCGGGGTAGAATAGGTCTTCAGCAACCCATGCTTGCCGTTAAAGGCGACTATGTTTGTCGTAAGAGGCGACTAGCGGGATCGGGTGGTCAGACTCGCTGACTTGGTTGATGCATGTCATCGTGTCCCAATTGCGAGAATCGATGATCATGATGTCAATCACTGGATTGTCTGGTCCAGACTCGATTATTTACAGACCGCCGTCATATAGTTGGAATATTATGGTATTACGGTAGTGCGGCGTTAAACAACAAACAAAGAAACAAACGAAACGATGATCACAATTATTGTATTTCCCGAGCGAGAGGGAGGGTAATACATGCATTCTTGCGCGAGTTTCGTAAAATCAATTGGACACACATGCGAGTGTGATAATTTCTTTATTACCCACTATGTCTTAATCCTTTTGAGCTCCCTTTAGAAAAATGCACTGATCACCACAGCTGTCCTATAAAACCACTGTTTGACGAATGACGTCAACAATCTTAAGGTATTCCTATTTCATTTCTATTGTGACGTCATTCCGATCTTATATTAATATATGATTCGAATGACGTCAACAATGCCGTCCGGATGACGGAAACAATACACTGGTGCGCGAGAAGTGATATTTGCACATACTATTTTTATGAACTCTGTTATTTCTAATCCTATGGTTAATAAATGTTGAATATTGATGTCGATTACATGTATAATGTACATGTCACCGAGTGAATGAGAACGTTATATATTATTTTAGTCAAATAGTCAGCTTTTTCTCATTCACAAAAACACATACTTACATTTTAATTTTCATTTCGATAGCATTAGAAGGCAAATGGTGATTTCGGGGATTTTTTTCAATTTTCCAGAAATAATGTTTCTCGTGGCAATCCATCGCTTAGTGACGTCATTGTATTATTGGGTGACGTCATAGTGTCTGCAAAGAGACGATATCTGATATCACACCATTGTAAAGGGTGACGTTGTCAGTGCGTGGAGGATTGATTTGACCTATACAATATGCCAGGTATGCTTTTAAGGTAAATGTGTGTTCATTACGAAAGGGGGTGGGGGTTCGATACAGGGGAAACTAATTTCAGTACTTTCCACAAGAAATGTCACGTATAGGTTAATCTTCTGACGTTCGATTGTTCATATTGTTTGCTGAACGATCCCAAGCAACGTACGTGACGTCATACTGCTCTACTGTTGCGCAATGATGCCATTTCATGGTCGTGACTCATCTTTCGAATTAATCATGGGCCCAGAATACTAGTATTTATCAAGATATAATTGAGATACAACATACTGGATTATCAATGATGGTGAATCAGTTGCGTACGTGACACCATGCAAATGATCTCGCGGGAAGTCCGAGTTAGAATAGATCCACAGCTACCGAAGTATGATTGTCCTTCGGGGCCATAAAATGGATCGGTTGTTAGCTTGATTGAGTGTCATCGTACGACGTGGTATGATGCTCATAATATCAATCACTTGATTTTCTGGACTCGATTATTTATAGGCCATCGCTGGAATTACGACGTTAAACAACAAACAAAACGTTGCGATATTACAACGAAACAAATAAAAACAAATTGACCAAGTAATCTCTGATTAGAATATTCGACCAGAGAGTGTGGTAAACATTTATATGTTTACGATTGTCAGCTTAAATCACACAAATATCGCAGATTACGAGAATTAATATGATTGCTCCTGCTGTTGTTTCAGATTAATGACTAGGCACGAAACACTGTATCAGCCATGTGTTATATGTCTTTGATACTGGGCTTACGCGTGCTAGTTATTTATATGCCAACGAATAATTGAACGGAGACACGGAAGCGTAGATATATGATTTTATATATAGACTAACAAGTTGCAAGATGTTATTTATATGCAATTTGAACACATACACAAATTATTGATCAGGTTTTCACTGATGATGCTATAAGCGACACACAGCAAGGCCGTAGTTAACTTTTTTGACAGGGGTGGGGGGCAAATATTTGTTCAAGTATCACTTGTACCCAACTTGATTCAAATAAAACTGTTTTCTATTAACACCCCCCCCCCCCCCCCGCTCAACACGGCACTGTACAGTATTTGCAAACACGCACCTGTCTAATTTTATCATTGCTCCCAACATAGCTTATATATCCACGTTATGCAACACCAATCATGATATTATATAACAAGTTCAGCCCTTATTTCTGCCATTGAAGATACAGTATCGCCCCGTCTACTCGTGCGTGTTGAATACCGACCATGTCGCTATTGTGTATGCGACTAAGTATCTCGGCAGATGTAATCGTGAATATCATTTTGTTATTTTTAAAGTGCTACGAAGCGTTAAGTCGAGGTATTCTTGACGTGCCGGCGAGATCTCAAACTCAGAGCGCTGGTATTGAGGATATATCGGTTTGACGTACAACTGACATCGGAGGCGGCAAAGCGATTGACGTCACAGCAACTATAGCGATATGCCAATGAATGAATAATGCATTCACAAACCAATCAGAGTTCAGTCCCCTTAGTCACGTGACTATCTCATCCAAGAGGAGTTTTCTCAATTGGAGTGACCTTCAAGGTGAGGCTTTTATTGCCGCTTTAAAGCCCAATTAGGACTGTTTTTTCGTGCAACGTTAAAAGTAATGCTTCATGTACCCGTATACAAAAAATGGTAAGACATTGACCCGTATTTATGCAGTATCGGAAAATTCTACCGGCAACATCAAGTACTCGTATTCCATCATGGCTGAACTGTCTAAACAAGCGTGCAGTTAAGCTCATATAGATATGTTTAGCCGGCGTACGATCACAGTTTATGCTTCGGTGTCAGTTATAACGCTGTTTTGATACTTTTAACCAAACTTGTTTCAATCTTATGGCTACCATATCTCACCGATCGCCATTGAAGTCGCCGCGAGGAGTTAATGTCGTGCCCATATTCCCGGCTGTGTCGGAAATGGGTATTATGATTATCAGGAACTCGTTCCAGGTTCAATCGGAATTGTTTTGACATTTTGTTACATTTGCACATATTCCATAACCAATATGAATTTATTTATCTAACATATGTATTAGAAATGACGCTATTTGTATATAGTCAAGATTAGTCAGTGTTGCATAAAGAGGTCATGTTTATATTTTATTTTTGGCTGTGCCAAACTTGTGACATTTGTATTCGATATTTTTAGATCTAGGTGCTGAAAAAGCGCAAAGGTGGCCCAGAAGGTAGACATTTCGCATATTGCCCCAAACGAAGCAGGCTTATCGTTCTGAATGAAATACATGAATATTTAATGTATCTAAGAAAAGGTTTATTAACATATTTAACTAGAACTAACAGGATATTCTGAAATATTCGTACCAGCAAAGAAAAATTGCCCTGTAACAGATGTATTGTCTATGTCAGTATATACTGTAGAATCTGTTTTCATTTGTATTGTTCAGGCATTTATGTCATGTGTTCGGTTGAATTAGGTTTTCTTAATCTGATAGAATGTCCTCTTTCTGCCAAGGTTGAATTGGTAATTACACATTATAACAGTACTGTATGACTAGATTGTGTATATTGTTTCACTTGGTTATTTGAAACATGTTAAATATTTTGCCACAAATTATTGAAATGTGTAGGCAACGTTTAAAATGGAGTCGATATATGAGGTTTTCTGTCATAGCATTTCACTGTAATTATAGGAGCCTCCAGCTGTTTGATCGGTAACATAACGATTATGGCAAACACCCCCAGACATGTGATTGAATTGAACTGAACACTCTTTATATGCTTTGACAGTTCGAATGAACTGTATGTACCGATGAGGATGATGATGATAATGATGATGATGATTTTGTGTGTGTATAAGGTGTGCAGTTCTCAAACATTAAAAACAGGGTAATGACCCCTGCTGACTGTAGCTCACTAATTATCATCAATTAATGGGTGTAAATTGGTTCATCTAACAATGACCAGTGTTTACACACTGGCATTGCTCTGTCAAGTCACCCAGTGACAGGCATCATGTGAGCTGCAGATGTTTGATTGGTCAGTAGTGTATGATAAACAGTTGAAAAGTTTCTATGACTCAATCAGTCATACCATTTGGAAGGACTGTTATGATTCACTTGCGTATTTGGTGAACCGAACCGTATCGCTTCATGAATTGAATTTGTTATTCATGGTCACAAGAATCAAATATTTACCAAAAAAGACGTGTATTTTAGTTGAACTCATCTGTTATTTATAAAAGTGAGATATGCAAAATGGAATATATACAAACCATGTAGAAGCGTAATTTGTGTCGGTTTGGCAAGGCCCCTTTTGGTACTATTTTTCCCTCTGCGAAAAGACATTACCATCTGATTACCGAGATCACGTAACACCTGAGTACCAGTAAAAAAATCTGAACTGAATTTAATCCTATTATTTCACTATTTATATACCTACTATATATACTACTACCTGGATAAGTGCAGTATATAAATGTATAATAATAATAATTAACACTGACAACATTGTCAAACCATGTCAAATAATTATTTTTTTTATTGTTTCACTGATTATAACACATGATACATCAACTGCTGACTTGTTATTGTATTCGGAATAAATATTCATATTTGTTACCCTGTATTCGTGATACGTATCGTATTTGCCTCATAGTGTATTTGTAGCCCTTCCATTTGGTCGTCGCTATATCAGTGCAATAATCTTGGACGCGACGTTAAACCCAATTTCACCTCACCTCACCTCACCTACTATTTGGTGTGTCATTCTGTGACTTGCAGTGAATTGTATGATGTTCTCAGCCAAAGTATCATGATTAACAGATACCTGATATTTACCTGTAACCACGACCTGTGTATATCCGGGTTAGAATTGGTCTTAGCAACCCATGGTTATCATAAGAATAGACCATCGGGATTGGGTGGTCAGACTCGCTGACTTGATTGATGCATGTCATCATCCCGTTTTCGTGGATCAGTGCTAATGATGTCAATCACTTTTATTGTTTGGACCAGACTCTATTATTTACCGACCACTGTCATATTGCTGCAGTGTTGCTGAGTGCGGTAAACAACAAAGCAAAACCTGGAACCATGAGTATTCAGATCAGACTTTATATGTTTTTATGTGTCATTAATTATCAGTCATGTTCATTATCAAAATAAGTGCATTTCTGCAAATGGCTGATGCAGCATTAAACAATATTTACTCACTCATAAGCCAGACTCTCATTCTAATATATCTATATTCAAGTCAGGGGACTCTCAGTAAGAATTTGGTGCGGTCGGGTAGCCCAGTGGTTAAAGCGTTCGCTTGTCACCCTGAAGACCTGGGTTCGATTCCTGACATGGGTACAATGTGTGAAGCCCATTTCTTGTGTCCCCCGTTGTGATATTGCTGGAATATTGCTAAAAGTGGCATAAAACCATACTCGCTCGCTCACTCACTCACTCACTCACTCACTCACTCAGTAAAAATTTGAGTGTGTGGGTGGGTAGGTGCAGGTGTGGGTGGATGGGTGTATTGAATACACTATTCACTTATTTTCATAACATTACACCTGCTCAAGAGACTTATGTCCGTTATAGATGGTGATTTCAATATTAGACCAACCACTGACACTCAGAACGTGTGTATTTCCTACCAGAATAGAAATGCCAGATATATGAACAGCTATGCATTTTTGTCGCGTCAATTTGTGTCCTCCTCAATTTGTACACACCATTTTGCATCCTGTCAAACCCTGATATAGACTTCCCCACCATTGCTGTGGGAATGGGATTCACAGTTAACTAGCTGTCCAGTCTGGTGACTTCCTGAGAGAGGCTGGAGGTGGTTGAGTCCCATTTTGCTGTGTCCCCATTTGCCTAAACCCCAGTTTGCTTCATAGTAATTGAAGGGATGGTGGGGTAGCCAAGTGGTTAAAGCGTTCGCCCGTCACACCGAAGGCCGGGTTCGAGTCCCCACATAGCTGTGAGTTACAACAGCCAACAAATTTGGTGAGTACTAGAGTGTCACAAGACAATGAAACCCGTGAAGATTCCGGGTTTGAATAGGTCTTCAGCAACCCCTACTTGCCGTAAAAGGTGACTATGCTTGTCGTAAAAGGCGAGTAACGGGATCGGGTGGTCAGGCTAGCTGATTTGGTTGATACATGTCATCGATCCCAATTGCGTGGATTGATGCTCATGATGTCAATCACTGGATTGTCTGGTCCAGACTTGATTATTTTACAGACCGCCGTCATATAGCTGGAATATTGCTGAGTGCGGCGTTAAACAACAAACAAACAAAACACAAAACAATGATTATGAGTGTCCTCGGACCTGTTTGCAGACTATTACTTGTGTCAACTTCAGTTGGAAAACCTGGTCATCACGATTATTACTCTGTGGGGACCCAGGCCTGAATAGGTCCCAAGGTTTATTGCTTGATGCAAGACTAATGGGCGACTAAATTGGATCAAGTGGTCAGGGCTGGTGTTAAAGGTGAAATGATACACTACAATACATAGGCTTTGATACAATACACATACAGACCTATGTCGCATTACATGAGGATGCAGAAATACATATGTTTTACTTAGTGAAAGAATAACCTGATCTAATGTACAAAACATTCATTAGTCTACACAGAGGATAACAGCCTATACAACATACAACAGTCTATACAACACAACAGTATACAGAACATACAATAGTATACACAATGTACAACTGTCTACAAAATGTACAACTGTATACAGAACACAACAGTTTACACAATGTACAACTGTCTACACAATGTACAACTGTATACACAATGTACAACTGTATACATAACACAACAGTTTACACAATGTACAACTGTTTCCACAATGTACAACTGTCTACACAATATACAACTGTCTACACAACGTACAACTGTCTACACAATGTACAACTGTCTACAAAATGTACAACTGTATACAGAACACAACAGTTTACACAATGTACAACTGTCTACACAATGTACAACTGTATACACAATGTACAACTGTATACATAACACAACAGTTTACACAATGTACAACTGTTTCCACAATGTACAACTGTCTACACAATATACAACTGTCTACACAACGTACAACTGTCTACACAATGTACAACTGTCTACACAATGTACAACTGTATACAGAACACAACAGTTTACACAATGTACAACTGTTTCCACAATGTGCAACAGTCTTCACAATGTACAACTGTATTCAGAACACACAACAGTTTACAAAATGTACACTGTATGCATAGTGTACAATGCATAATGTGTCAATATAACTGTTATTCAACACATTCGTGACCAACTCGTGTTATTCCAGGACAAGCCGAATAGCGACTCGTGGCCATTTTTGCGACCGGGTTCCGTCTTAGCGCAAACGGGCATACCTAAAACAATTGTCAACTCGTTGCGTAATGGTTCACACATTTTCCCCATATATTATTTATATTTAAGATGCAATGTAAAGCGCATCGGGACGTGCGGAATTATACAGTATGATTGAACACATTTAACTGTGTCTTTGGTATATTTTTAGATACAAGACATATGTAAAATCAAAATTA